GAAAGTGGTTCAGTTGGCCTGCCTGCTTTGTGTTAACCGTCCACGTCTCCGCTCCGTACAACAGCGTCGGCAGGATGACGGCCTTGTAACCTTCAGCTTTGTGTTCAGTTGGAGACCATGACGATTCCAAACTGTGCTCTGGAGGCGACCGAAGGCTTGACTGGCTTTCGAGATCCTGTTGGCGACTTCGTCATCGATCTTGGTGTTGCGGAAGAGGGCACTGCCCAGGTACGGGAAGTTCTCCACCACTTGCAGTTGGGTTCCATTCACCCTGATTTGCGGCGCTTTCGGGGGTGTGGCTCAGTTGGGTGGCGGTTGATGTATCATCACCGTCTTCTGCGAGTTGATGATCAGACCGAATTTCTCGCAGGTGGTAGAGAAAATGTCCATGCTCCATTGCATCTCCTCTTCCGAGGTGGTGTTCAGGGCACACTCGTCGGCGAAGAGAAGTTCGTGATGTGTTCGTGGAGATGCGCGAGTGGAAGTGCATCCGCCGTTGATTCAGGAGGTGATCGTCCGTCCTGTTGGCTATGCTGATGCCGCGGTGCTCATCACGGTAGGCGTCCGTGTCGAAGGCTTTTGTCAGGTCGACGATGGTAGAATACAGGTGGGTCCGCATCTCCTGGCACTTCTCCTGAAGTTGACGGACGGCGAAGATCATATCCGTGGTCCCCCCATGACGACGGAACCCGCATTGGCTTTCCGGTAGAAGGCCCCGTTCCAGATGATTATTTAGACAGCTGAGGAGGATGCGAGCGAAGATCTTCTCGGCGATATTCAACAAGGAGATACCACGGTGATTGCCAGACTTGGCGATTTCCGTTACGCTTGTAAAAATGCACGATGGTTGCGTCTTTGAAATCTTGCGGAACTTCACCTTGACGCCACATCTCCTGGAAGAGCGCAGTCAGGTGTTCCATGAGTTGGGGACCTCCGTGCTTGTAGATCTCAGCAGGGATTGCGTCCGATCCGGGTGATTTTCCCCTGGAGGTTTGCTGCACGGCCCTGATGGTTTCCTGGAGAGATGGCGGAAGGTCGAGGTCCACGTTGGTCTCCACTTGCGGTAGACGGGCGATGGCGTCATCGGAGATGGCGGAGGGGCGGTTGAGGACGCTTCGGAAATGGTCGGCCCATCGCTGTAGGATTTGCGTCTTCTCAGTCAGGAGAATGTTGCCGTCGACGCTGAGGAGAGGAGCAGTACACTTCGTCGGCGGACCGTAGACTGCTTTGATTGCGGAGAAGAAGTACTTCCCCTCCTTGCGGTCTGCGTACCCTGGATATGCTCAGCTTTGCGAGCAGTCCAGGCGTCCTGCATCTCGCGCAGTCGTTTCTGAAGGTGGCGGCGACTGCGGTAGAAAGCAGCTTTGTTGGCATCAATGGGGTGGTCTACGTAGGCTTTGTGTAGGCGGTTCATCTCAGCAAGCAGATTTCTGATGGCGGCGTCGTTGTCGTCGAACCAGTCCTGGTGTTGGCGGGGAGCGCGACCGAGGACGGCGAGCGCCGTCGACTGGACCGTGTCTCGCAGTTGACAGCAGCGTTTTTCCACGGAGGCGTTCTCGGCAGCAGAAGCGGCGTCGGCGGCGGCGGCGGCAGCGATTGGAAGATTGTCAAGCCGTTGAGCTAGCGTATTGCTGAAATGAGGACGGTGAGCAGGCAAAGACAATTAGGCAGCATTCAGCTTGCAGGGGGAGGGGCGCTTACCTTGTGTTCTCCAGCGAGGCTGTCGGCGAATACGCATCTTCGAGATGACGAGGCGATGGTCGGTCCACCCGTCAACACCCGCGATCGCCTTTGTCACCAGCACGTCCCGCTGATCTCGCCTCCGGACGAGGACATAGTCCAGCAGGTGCCACAAATGCGACCGAGTATGCCTCCAGGTGGCCTTCTCTCACTCCGGCAGACAGAAGAACGTGCTCGTCAGGATGAGGCGGTGTTCTGCGGAGGTGCAGAGGAGCAGCAGGCTGTTGTCGTTGGAGCCGCGGAGACCGTGGGGACCCAGCACTCCTCTCCAGGCAGTATGATCTGTGCCGACGTCGGCGTTGAAGTCACCAACGACAACCAACCTGTCCGCCCTCTACACTGTCGCTAAGAGGGCATGCAGGTCCTCGTATAATTTGTCTCTTGCGGCGTCAGGACTGCTCATCGGCGGAGCGTAGGCGCTGATGATGGTGAAGAATTTGCCACCACCCCGGACAGTCAGGCGGAGGCTCATCAGGCAATCGTTGATGCCCTGCACAAACAGAGCAGTCGTCCCACGATGTTCTTCCGGATGGCGAAGGCGACACCCGCGTCTCGTCGCTCTGCCCTGAGCCGACCACTCCAGAAGAAAATGTAGCCGGCACCCACCTCCTCCAGTTGTCCTTGTTCGGAGAAACGGGTCTCGCTGAGTGCGGCCATGTCTACCTTGTAGCGCGCCAGCTCCCGGGCCATTAGCGCCGTCCTCCGTTCCGGGTGGATGCTCCTTGGATTGTCTAAAAGGGCACGAACATTCCAGGCTGCCAGAGTCAGCGGACTCACCCTACCAGTCTGGTGAAAACGAGTGGGCGGCGGAAAGTAGGTGGAGAAGAAGGTGAGGAGGGAGAAGAATAGGCAGAGAAAGAGGAAGAAGAGGTAGGATGAGGACTATGAGTATGGTTGTTGTTGCTGTTGTTTCGATTTTGACTGTTTCGACCCTGAGTTTTGCGTCTGCGACAACGGTGCGCCTGCAGACGACGTGGTTCCCTAGCTATTTTTAGGCCAGCTTTTCCAGGCCCCCTGCGAGGAGAAGCAGTGCTCGGCCCCTGAATAGGGCTGCTTGATGTGCCGGCGCGGCCGAACTCCACTGTGGGCCACGACTTTGTTTGGCAGTGGAAGAACAACTTGAATTTGCCAATGGCTTACGACACTGTCGTAAGGCTGCGACTAACACTACGAATGTCCCCTTAACGGCGATATAGCTGATATCTCCTGATGGCCATGATGTGCATTGTCCTCACGGACAAGTGTTGCTAATGCTCTGAGGTCAAAGGCTGGGCCCTTGGCAACCGGTGTCAAACTGGGATTCCAGACTCGGGCCTCAACATCTGGAAGATTTATTTCAATCTTGTATTTCTGTCTAGGCTGAAGGTTGAGAGGAGAGCGTTGTAGATTACGAATCGGCGATTATATGGGCATAATCACGACTACGTGCGAGTACTTAGTAAGCGAGTAGTTTGTTAGAGACCCAAGAAGTAGGAATCCGAAACGTCAGGCTATTAAAGCTTTGTCTCAGCGATCGTGTCTCCTTCTTCAAGATTACTCCCTGGGACTCGTCTCTTCGCTTCTATTGGCAATGTGTTTGGGCACAATGGGCTTCAATCGGCCGCGCAGTGGGAAACCTGCTCCCTACGAGAGGACTCTACGCATTCGCAGATCCGTTTTCTGCACATATTTCTCGACAATAATGTCTTAGCAAAATGTGTTTCATACAAGCCACCGGTTAACACGGATTTGGCGAGACGAGCAGTATTTCAGCTCGGCAGAAGAATGATCCGAGTCCTCCTCCAAGATTGCCATGCGAGACTGCGCAAGAACCGTCAAAGGATTGACCAAGAAAAGACCAGATGCTGTGAGTTCATTGGTGAGATTGGTACAAATCTGCTCCAGCAGAAAGTGACGGAACAAGCCCGCGAACAGAGAATGATACGCCACGCAGTACTGGAGTTCAAATTCCGAAGGCTGCCCAATCCTATGTCGCCCCGAAACGACAAACTTTTGCATAACCTGTCGTCAAAGGAGCTGACGAAGGATCAGATGCAGGTTTTACGGCACGAATCTTCATTTAACACGGCTGACGCAAAACCTGCTAACAGAATTGCAGCAATGAGATCAATCCTTTGTCACACGTAGAAAACGGAGGAGACTAAGAGCCTCATCCGACACCAAGCGTCGTCTCTCCTGATGGTCCACAGGCCGCGGGAAGTGCTTTCCAAGGTCGAACGTGATGCGCTTAGAGAACTCAAGGCCGACAAAGACCTGGTCATCGTGCCAGCGGACAAAGGACGCGCCACAGTTGTACTGGACAGGGCAGACTACTTTCAAAAACCCAAGGGTTTACTGGAGGACCGACAGTTCTATGTCTCATGTCGAACGAACCCTTTTAAAGCGCTGACACGCGAAATTAATGCCATGTTGTTATCCTTGGAGAACTTAGTTGCAAAAACAGCGACCGACAGGTGCATGGCCAGACCACAAGATGCGGCTTTGGCCCGACTCTATGGCCTCCCTAAGGTGAACAAAGACGGTGCTCCTCTCCGACACATCGTGTCGCTCAAAGGGACTCCAACGTACAGACTGCCTTAGTGGCTGTTCCGGAGTTTCAAGTTCCTGACTGCTGAGTCAGACACTACGGTATCTTCGTCAGCACAATTCCTGGAGGTAAGCCTCAATCAAAATGTGGTCATGGTATTCATATTGATCCAACTGTGAAAAACTCGGCGCCTCGGTGGGATTCGAACCCACGCAGTAAGCGGAAGGCTTTAGTGCAGCCAACGCTCAAACTACCTGACCTACGAGGCCCCGCCGGACGACGCGAGTTTAATCCAATTTGGGTCAAGTTAACAGCCCAACTCGTCGTCGTCCGGCGGGGCCTCGTAGCTCAGGTGGTTCGAGCGTTGTATGCGCTAAAGCCTTCACCTTGCTGCGTGGGTTCGAATCCCACCGAGGCACCGAGTTTTTCACAGTTGGGTCAAAAAGAAATCTTTCAAAATCTGCCAAAATATCAATGAGGTCATGGTATCTTTTGATGTTACATCCCTTTTTACTTCTATTTCCCAGGACCTGGCGATCGAGACAATCTAGCTGCTACTTCAAAGCAAATGCGATAAAACGGTGTTTCGTCTTGGATACGCCCAAATCCTTCACCTCCTGAAGCTCTCTCTCAGGACGTACTTCACGTTCGACGGAACAATCTACGAACAGGTAAAGGGCACACCAATGGGTTCGCCAATTTCGGGATTCATCGACGAGGCGATCCTACAACGGTTAGAGTCGCTGGTCTTCCAACACCACAAAACTGAAGTTCTGGGCCCCGTATACGGATGATACCTTCGTCGTCATCGAACGGGATCAGGTGCTGACATTCCAAGAACATCTCACCATCGTTTTCCCGGACATTAAATTTACGATGGAGAAGGAAGAGAGCAACCAGCTGGCCTTCCTGGATGTCCTCGTATGCCGCAAATGTTGTGGTTGACTAAGAACCAAAGTGTTCTGGAAAGCGACAAATACGATGCAAGTACTGAACTTCAACAGCAACCACCCAATCAGTCATAAACTCAGTTGTGCAAGGAGGCTCTATCGGCGTGTCCAAACGCACTGCAGTGAGCCGGAAGACAACAATACTACAGTACCTCCGACGGGTAGTCAAAGCCAGTGGCTACCCGCGCATCTTCGTCAACCGGTGCATACGCAAAAGGGATGAAAGGCCTAACCGTACGAACACCAAATCTTGGCGGGCGCTTCCGTATGTCAAGAACGTTTCGGAAGCTGTCGGCCGCCTTCTCGCACCACTTGGGGTTGAAGTTGCACACAGAGCGGAGGCAACCATCAGGCGTCTGGTAATGAAACCGAAAGACACGCTGCCATGGCTAGAAACGTCTGGAGTCGTTTATCTGATCTGGTATAGTTGCGGACAAAGCAACTACGTCAGAGAAAGCGGAAGACAACTCTGAACGAGAATTGCCGAACACGCTGCAGCGGTGCGGAGAAATGACGCCAGCTCCCAAGTTGCGGCTCATTCGACGAGATCTGGCCACACATTCAAATTGACGAAGCCGAAATTCTCGCAAGAGATGACAACCACGTGAGCCGGGAGCAACTTGCATCATAGTTTACTGGCCCCCAGTCCATTAAAAAGTGCAATGAACTTCCCCTTCCATACTCGATACTGAGACTTCGTCTAGGCGGAGCAGTGGCCACGCGGGAAGCGCACAGGTGAGCACTTCCCAACACCAGGGTCGGTGCGTCAGATGGTCGAGCAATCATCACGCCAACGTCCAATGCACGTGATCAAATTGCAGCAATTAACGACGGCAACGTCGGCCATCAAGCAATAAGCACACCAAGTGCAACGATCCCGGATGAAGGGGGTAGCCGTTAATGTAGATAGGTATGCGGTAGCATGGCGATTGCAGCCCCTTGTGCATGAATCACCCGTATCTGCTGCTGTCTCTGATGATGGGTTCGAGTAGGAATCTGAAACGTCAGGCTAATAAAACTCTTGTCCCAGCGATCATGTCTCCTTTTTCATGATCAAAGCATGGTTCACACCGCAGTTCGGCAGCAGCAAGCGACAAAGTCAATGACCGACCAACAAAATGGGAGCAATGTTGACCTGCGTGTGAGGTCATTCATACTGAAGCGAGTTTGCAATACATGTATCTCACTTTATTCTGTCTACAATTGTCCTGCTCCGATGACACAGGAGAACAAGGTGATCGGAGATAGGACAGGGGATACTGGCTGACGGGTTCTAACAGCCTATCTGCACGTGCAGTACAGGATAGGATCCATGATTCTCTACGTATGAGACTCCAACAAGTGACCGTCAGGGATCGAAAAGTTGAGAGGTATCATATGGAGCCACTGAAGTCAGACTCTCATTCACAGGCGAACGAGTTAGCTCGTCAGTTAAAGACATCGCCAGGCAAGGTTTATAGCGCGTCGTGGCAAATAAACACGAGGACAGTAAGTGTCTGAACTGAGCTTGATTGGCTTCACCCTCTTCTTCCTTTCACATGTGCCAGTCACCTATCCGAATCAAATCGACTGAGAATTAGATCGGGCGCCGTGGTTAACGTAACGTGCAATTGACGCCTTTCAGGTCACTTAAGAGCGCAGATTTCGCAAAGACGTCAAACAAATGCACAATTGCAGTTTGCCTTTCGTTTAAAATGGCGATTAAGTTTTCCCATTAACAGGTAGCGTATAAGCCACGACTTTTAGTGCGTGCTGGAAGTTTCGACCTCATCGGATTAATTGTAGTGGGTAGCGACCAGGACAACCCTGATGCTTCAGTTCCTGTCTTACGTCTTCATCCTTCTCCCATGCACCAGTGGCACCTCTGTGTCGGCGCCCAAAGGCTGTCCCCCTGAAACCTGCTGCACTGCTCTGATCGCTTCCTGGAAAGAGGGCAGATGCTCAAGGTCAGTATTGCTGTCACGAGAAAAACTATGTTGTTGTTTTTTTTACAGATCACGGATTCTTGGTTGGGCTTGACTCCAATTTTGATTGGCCACCTAGAAACTTGTATCATCTTCAACCAGATAATATTCCCAGAATGTGGTTGGCAAGCAATAACAGACAACTGAAATGTGTGCAGGACCTTCTCCTTTTGCTACCGATCCCCCTTTCAAGAGGACCTTTTCGAACAATACACTGCTTCACTTCGCTGCTACCAAAAGTTCAGCATTTTTAGCCACAACGGGTAGGTTGCACAATGCACGCAAAATAACTTTTGCCGACACCAACCTGCAGATATTCCACTTCGCGATAGCGAGTGGACTTGACAGAAGTCGCCTCAGCTGAGGGTCGATACGATGAAATGTAGAGCTCCGAATCGAACATGTCTTGGATCATACCGCGTACACAGACCAGATGACCGTCCGCAATGTATAGTAGAGTGTCATCTGTGACAAGTGGGATCTACAGAAGGAAAAGTTACAAAGCGAGAGAAACAAAAAAATACTTGCGATGGAGCCCGATGATTCACTTATCTTCGCTCTGATGAAATTCTCATAAGCGTCCAGGGACAAAGTGGGTGTGGCGGAGTGGTCTATGCATTGCGTATGAAAAACAGTAACTTACAAAATTGCTTGTCGTACGTATCCCGAGGTGCTGTGAGCCATGAAATGTCTGTCATGTCAAGGTGGCGCTAAAAGGCCTGTAACAGAAAATACGCCCTTGAAAACTGGTTATTTTCAGTGGGAAAAGTAGTTACGGTATGGGGAGAAGACATCTCGAGATTGACACAGGTGATGGTAAAATCAAATGTAAGCTAACAAGAGGCAACAGGGAAAAATATGTCGAGACACTTCGGCAAACTCCGACTAATACAGAGGGACAGAGAGCACCATCATTGACTACATCTAAACGCTGCATTTGACAGATTCAATTTAATTACTTAGGAGTCAGTCGCGCAGCCCACTTGCTACAAATCTGTTTTCACCTATATCACGCTACCTTCCGTCGGATGTAACAAGTCACATTTTAATTCGGGACCTGCATGCACTCAGACGGAGATCGTGAACGCTAGTCTGTTGGCTGCTCCAACGCTCATAAACTTTTCCAGGAAAATGGATGATTGACCTCAAAAATAGCTAAGTGATCACATAACCTTACTCAGGCTGTGGTAGGATGATTCCGAGGTAATGTCAATGGCTCCCACAACTTGAGTTAAAACGCGGTTCGGGCATTTACGCATCAAACTAGCTGACCTGTCTTTAACTCACTTAGGGAGAAAATGTAAAGAAAATACGTGGGGAGAGCTGACCAGTGCGGATAAATATGGCCAGGTTTCCACACACGGAAAAGCTAACAGTGGGTGGACCTTTTATCAAAAGACAACCTGACATGGGATAAAGTTGAGGAACACCCTGGCTGTTATCATTCAAATGAGCGCAAAAGGTGTTATGTGGAGCCAAATTGGCAATCAGAGGCGTTCCACAAGTCTTAGATAAGGGATAACGACACACTTTCGGATAATGCGGTGGGGCGAAAATGGGCTCACATGTAGCGGGCAAGTCACCTGATGCGGAACCTACGCAGATAAAGACAGAAGAGATGATCGGCATCAATGTTACTGCTTGCTTAAAGTCAAATGCAGTTCAAATCTAAAAGCCTTGAGTTCAGCAAAATCCGACGTTTTTGCATTTATGAAGAGCAGAAAATCAGACATTGGAGGCTAACTTTAAAACCTAAGACGGCCTGAGAACATCAGTCGCAAATAAAAACAAAAAGATGCGCTGTTTCGCAGTAGCTGCCTCTGACAAAGAGCGATTCACGGTCAACGTGGAGGCGGTTAGGGGGGGAGGGGGACATTTAATAACCGTTAAAGAGCCGTGCCCATCGTAACGGATGCTTTAATCTAAAGTCCATTCCTTATCAACCATCTTAAGTTTCGTTCTTAAAGCTGATTTCATTTACGGAGCAAGCAAACATGATGGAGAAAGATATATCTTATAGTATACTATTAGTATACAATTAGTATACAATTGTACATGCCTTAAGGCATGTAGGCCTTGTAAACGAAAGCACAAGTCGTTTTTAAAAAAGTTGCGGTGGCACCTACCGATTATGCCAGTTCTTTCGAAAAGTTTACACGGGGGCAATAAAACAATAAAGGAATCTGTGAAATTATACGTACTAAGCGCAAACATCTGACGAGGCTATTGAAAATGACATATACGCTAATGAAGATGACTGAACAGCAGCAGTGAACATGATAGTGACTACTGCTGTTAGAATATGTTCTTCTGTGATAATTCAGAAAGCAAAATGAGGGCTATTTATTTGCTTGCAAAGCCTGGATTCGAGTTTGAATCCATGAACTAGTTCATGCGCTGTCTATTACAAATGGGTGGGAGAGTTTAGGCGTTCAAAAAACGCGAGGACAGCTTGCATTCAAAGCAGAATTTAAAATCGGCGTACCCGAAGTACTATAGACGTAGTTTACTAGTTTCGTAGTTGGTTCCAGCAACATCAGCGACAACACATCAAGCCAAGATTCCAAATTTAAATTTTATGATTCAAACTAATCATGACATTCTGCGCGCAGATTAGCGTATTATAATAATGTCTCGTGGACAATATAAAAACATCTTTACTATTTCAACCATCTCATTATTATTTCACATCTTTAAAAAAATATGCATGGTTATTGAGTTGACACTCTACTTGTGCTGAAACAAGAAATGTGCAGCCGGAACTCTAGCAGGAATGCTCGAAAAATCTCTAAGAAATGAGAAATTTCTGATAATTCTGTGGGGTAAACAGCTTAGGAAATGTGGAAAATCAAGTTAAGAAATTAAAGAAATAAGTTAAAGCACGCGAGTTTTACAGAAGAAGGGAGAAGGAATGGTTGTGTTGGGAGAATTATAGGTTCTCAAAGTCACTTATTTAGTAAACCTCTTGTGTTTCCATGCAAACTACGTGTGTACTAAGCAATATCGGATGTGAGAAGTTATTTCTTCCCAACTGTATTATTAGAGTATGGAATATCCTGCTCCAGGCGATCGTTACGTCTCAGCAAGCTGCTGTTCCTTCCTATCTTGCCATGGACACACGAGTTTCAGTGAAACTACGTTCCTTTCCACCTCATACTGCATTATTGCTAATTCTTTCGATTTGCATGTAGCGAATAGAGAGTTTAGGTAATTAAGTATGCTCTTCTGTTATACACTGAACTGAAATACAAAATGTTGGGGTGTAGCACTTAGCCACAAAATTTCTCAAACCCGAAACACAGGCGAAGAAATCCGGCTAGAAACAAGGCTATGTGTAAAATAGGAATAAACGGCAGCGTAGTTACTTGAAGTCGCTTATGCTTTTTAACCCTAGTGCATTGACCAGATACAGTTTAAATAATCAGGAATATGTGGTGGTCAAAACTTTCATATAACTTATTCGATGTGGATATATTTTCTGCAGATCTACTAAAAATATCTCAGTCCACGAATTACGATGGTATGATTTCCATTCACACACTAAGTTTCTCACTGTAAGTCGTTCGCAGCCTGCATCTTCCCGCATATCATGCAAAGATAAATTTGAACTGGTCCGCTGCTTAGAATTTTAGTTCACTTGCGACGATTGCTCAGTATTGGAGTGGAAGTCGGGTGTATCGACAGTTTAAGAAGTAATATCCGTCTAGATGAACTGGCAGTGGCACAAAGGGCGTGACTGCACGGACTAGCCATTCCGCGTTTGTCGCATCCTGTATACAGTTCAGGTGTGTACCTCCATGACGCTGTGATGCTCGCGACTATCAGGCCCCGATAGTCGATCCGACTGACAAGAAGTATGACGAGGCCAACGGGAGTAATTCTACACGGGATGCATTCATATGGAAAATGGGTGGTCCAGAAGTGAGGCGTTGAACTCGGTGCAAAGATCTTCAAACATCTGTACTCGGACAGATGGTCAGCCGCCTCGACTGCGAATGGTTAATGATATATGCTGGGTAGAAGATATGAGTGTGTGACTACCACCTGAGTAAACTCAATCACACACTGGCAATATCCAGGGCGAGTTCTCAATCCCCAAATACCCAAACAGACTAGTTCAATCTCGACTGTTGTAAGTAAGGGGGAATTTGTTCTGCGCAGGTTGTTCCTGGTCGTTTGACTATTTAAATAATGCAAAGGCGACACAGCATGCAGTATTTACTGAAGTCATAAATTTCGAGGCCTATCATTCTGCTGCGTACGGTCATTGACTATACATTGCTTTTAGACACAGACACTTCTTTCGGCAACGCGATACTCCAGCATCACTGTAGCTGGGGGGTGACGGTGGTGTCAAGGTGTGGTATGGTCAGCAACACAGAGATTCCCAAATCAGAAGTCGGGGAAGACGGATTGGCGTGGACAATCTCTTGTGACGAGTAAGACCGTACAAGAAGTTCTGAAATCATTCGCCACAAGCTGTCTCCCCAGACAAGTAGTCTGTGTCAGTCTTTAAGATGAGTGACCCTCAGTGCGTGTGTGTGTGTGTCTTTTACCATATCCCAATTAACGCCCGCCAGTCGATCAGAGAATGGGCAGCGTCGATTAACTTCGAGCTCTCTTGAAGATAGAGACAAAATCCGTGCGTCCCCAGCAGCGAATCGACAGGGAACCTGGGTGGACAAAGGACAGCATGACAAAACGATGGATGTCAAGGGTGAGGTCAGACACAGGACCCCCCAAATGAATTCGTTAACGCTCAGAAAACAGGAGTAATCAAACGATCAGGAAAATGAACGCGGCGTCCACTACGGGTAATATATACAGAGGGTACAGGGGAACAGTAAGGATGTGCTGTGGCTGGAGTACTGGAGGTTCAGTCCAGTTCAGTTCAGTTCAATTTATTGAGGGAAATAGGTGTGAGCCTTTGAGTACCTACATCGTAAAATATGTGTGGGGGTACAGATAGAAGTTTTCGACTGAAATGGTGGGACAAAATTAGGAGTAACAGGGGGTGAGCTCGACTTCTTGCCGCTCTTGGTCATTTCCGAACATAAATATGTCCATATTCTTCTTAAAACTTTGTATAGATGGTGACATCACAACATCTGCGGGCAGCTCGTTCCGTGGTCTGACAATCCGAACCGAGAAGGAGAACTTCCGCACATCCAGCCGTGCCTGCTGAGTGCGCAGTTTTAAAGGATGACCTCGGAGGTTGGTTGTGGTAGCAAATTCACAAAAAGTCCTCGAAGGCCAGACTGCAATCCAACCCCTTGATAATGCGGAAGGCTTGCAAGAAATCCCCGCGAAGTTGCCTGTAACTCAAAGGATAGAGGTTCAGATTTACTAGGTGGGTTGCATATGGAAAGGAGCGTTGACCCCTAACCATCTTCGTGGCACTCCTCTGGACTCTTTCGAGGTAGTTTTGATCCTCAACAGCTCACAGCCTCCAAGCTTGTATGCCGTACTCTAAATGCGGCCGGACAAATGTTCTGAATGTCTTAGAGAAAGCTTCTTCGTCAAAGTCCATAAAGGCACGCTTGATGGCGTACAGTACGGACATTGCGCTTTTTGCCACCCTCGAACAGTGGGCGAATGGTTTTAGAGAACTCGTTGTCAGCAAACCGAGGTCCCTTTGGGCTTCGGCCTCTTGTAGGGCTGCATCGCCCAGAAAGTAGCGTCTTGTGCTGGCGGATCTGGCTGTGTTGCCTAGGCGAAGTATGCTACATTTGGCAACGTTGAACCGTAGGAGCCAACGGTTTGACCACACCTCCAACCGATTCAGGTTCATCTGCAGTCTGTCTTCGTCGGCAGGACCCCGAATTACACTCCATATCTTCATGTCATCCTCAAACATTGCTACTTCACAGTCCTAATCTCTTGCGGCATCGTCCACGTAGATAAGGAACAAAATGGGTCCCAGTACTGAACCCTGGGGGACACCACTATCGACCATAGCCGGATCTGATGTTCCCCGACCGATGCACGCAACCTTGTGTCGACCCACATGGAAGATTTCGATCCTTTTAAGGAAGTTGCCACCGATCCCTATTTTTTTCAGCTTATGTAGGAGCCTTTTATTGTGGCACAGTGTCGAACGCTTTCTGGAAATCAATGAGGGCTATGTGGACCGCCTGCCTCTCGTCAACAGCTCGAGTCTAGCTCTGGAGAGATTGCAGCAAGTTTGTCGTGCAGGATCTTCCTTTCCAGAACCCATGTTGGCAGTTCGATAGCAGGCCGTTAACTTCCAGAAATTGCATCAGTTCACTCTTTATGATCCTTTCCATAACCTTGTAGAGAATGCATGTCAAGCTTATGGGCCTGTAATTTATCGTCGCTGCCCTGTTACCTCCTTTGTGTAGCGGAGTAATATGCGCCAGCTTCCAATCGATAGGAAGTGTTCCAGTATCAAATGACGTTTGAAAGAGCATCGACAAAGGCACAGAAAGCTCACTGGCAAGTTCCTTGAGAAGCTTGGATGGAATCTCGTCTGGTGCTGGCGACTTCGATTCGTTCAATGCCTCTAATTCTCTTCGGACACTGCCTTCTGAGAAGAGTATATCACCGACGCTTGGGGTCGGCTGGTCTTCTGTGAAGGGAGGAAGGAACCTTGCCTCGTTTGTGTAGACTGATTGGAAAAACCGTGAAAAATACGCAGCTTTATCCCTACTATCAGCGATCTCAACGCCATCAGTAGTCTTCATCAAGGGGATTTGATGTCTGTTCCTTGTAATTGGTCGGAGGTAGCTGTAGAGCAATTTTGGGTTCTGCGTTGCTTTTTGTAGCAAGTTCTTCTCGAATTCCCACCGCGTCTTCATTATCAGCTTCCTCAGTTTGTTCCTCTGTGTCTTGTATGTATTGAAGCATTCAGCTTGTCTAGTGACGCAGTATTTTCTCCACAATTTGTGCTTCCTGTTGATTTCTTTCTTGAGGTTGCTATTTAGCCACCCAGAGCGTTTGTTCAGCCTTACACTAGTCAGTGGGCAGTGGTTGTTGATGAGCTGCAGAAGGACATTCTTGAACAGCTCCCAGTCATCGTTGGCACTTCCCGTAAACAATGCGCCCCAGTCAAGACCGGATAAGTCTGCACTCATCTGATTAATGTCGCCCCGCCAAAAATTACGCCTTTTGTTGTCTGGAGTAAGTGAAATGGAGAATAACGAATAATCCCACATAAGCACTACGTGGTAATCGAATGCCGATTTTGGACCCGACGCTTGGAGGGTATTCCGATTTGTTCCTGGTGCGTTGAAGTCGTCCATGATCATGATGTTAGGTCGACTGGAAAATTTCTCCAACTGCTCCAATAGATGAGTGTCGGCGATCTGGTCTGTCCTAGGTGGTCGGTAGATTTCACTGAGCCCGACTGAGCACAACGACATTTTCTGAGCTCCAACTGGGACTATTTTGACGTAGATACCACTTCACAGTTACCGTCTCTGAGGTTGCCGCTGGAACTGTACGTACCAAATTTGTTTCTGCGTCTCTGGAAATTTTTTTCTCGCGTGGAAATTTATCAGAAGTTTGTCTCTAAGCGGAATTTGTTTTTCATCAAAATCCAACGGGCTACGGAGTCTATTCGCGCGCAGATATCGGCCTAGGAAAACAAAATCGTTGACACCCAGGAAGATCGGGAGTTATTCAGCGCCTTCGATATTCTCAAAACGGCTGAGTCGCTCCTACATATATATCATACCGTTCATATTTTTTCTATACATCGACTTTTTAAAAAATAGGCGTATTTTCGACCATTTGGTTTCGAATATTTACCATACTCAATCGTATACAATCGTAGTTACCAGTTTGAACCTCGAAACCGAATATTAACTTACGAACACACGAAACTCATGAACACAGATCAACCTTTTGGTAGTTCCACGACCAGGACCGGCATAATGCATGAAGGAAAGTCTATTGACA